CCTGTCAGGTCCAGGAGCTTCATTTCTTTTCAGATTTTTAATAGCACTCTCAACTTCTTGCAAGGAGATTGAAGATTCTATTAAGGCACGGTGATCAGATGAAATTTTTGTAGTTAACATTTCCGACCTCAAGAATTCTTCTATGGCTTCTTTCGCTGGTTTCTGTGACACATACAGTGACGTATAGAAGGATTCCATCACTTTCATGATCTCAGCAGTTGAGGATATGATAACACCATCTGGGGTCCGGATGTTATTGATAAACCTGTCCTCTCTTTGTTGCTTAAGTTTTCTAGACAATAGTCGAAGCTTGAGAGGTCCCGTGAAGGTAGAGTCTCGTCTCATTTCATGGTTGTTTTTGGTGATAGCTGTTGTATCTAGCAATTCTAACTGTTTCCTGGCATTTAACAGTTTTTGGTAGACCTTTGGGCTGCAGCTTAGTTTGTGCCTTACTTCCAGTTTCCTGATTGTGGCCAGAAGTTGTTTTTTTCTTTGTTTTTTCCTTTCTACAGGCAGCCATAACTGAGATGCATTTTCCACGAATGACCGCTTTTGACGCCTCCCATACCATCGCACTGGACACCCTGCAGTGTTGGTTAAGGCGGAAGTAGTCACGGAGTTCCTGCTCAATTTTGTTTTGCTTTTGGGTCTGTTAATAAAGTTTTGTTAAGCAACCAGCTTGGTTTTTTCATTTTGTGATCACTGTTGCGGAGAGTACACTCAATAGGTGTGTGATTGGACCAGCATTGGAGACCAATCGTGGACGATTTGACCTTAGGGAGCAGATCTCTGGAAATAAAAATATAGTCCAGCCTAGTGCAGATTTTATACTTAGGTGAAAAGTAGTAGTCCCTTTCATTTACATGCTTACACCTCCAGATGTCACATAAATCATGGTTGTTGATTATTTGCTCCAGAGGGCTAGAGTGATTGTTTTTGTTTGGGGCATAAGTAATCAAGCTGCTTATTCATTAAGTAATTAAAGTCACCCCCTACGATGACACTGCCCTTCTGGAAGTGGTTCAGTTTACGTAATGTTTCTTTCACAAACTGGATTTGACCTTTGTTGGGTGCATAAACTGAGGTCAATGTCATTAAAGAGCCATTAAGGGAGCCTCGAATGAAGATGAATCTGCCTTCAGTATCTTGTTCAATTGCTTCCAGTTTGAATTGAACTTGTTTTGAGACTAGTATGGCTACCCCCCGAGACTTGGAATTGCCACTCGCTAAATATTGGGTGGGGTACCATTTGGAAATTCCGGCTTTGTAGCTTTTGCTCAAATGGGTTTCTTGTAACAAGGCAATGTCTGTTTTGTTAGTTTTTAGATCACTAGCAATGCGTTTGACCTTAATTTTGTTATTTAGACCTCTGCAGTTAAGTGAGGTGATTTTCACATCCGCTACCGCCATTGTGCTTTGTTGAAGTAGCATTTCAGGACCTGGAGACTGGCGCTATTTACAGCGCTTAGAGACAGAATATAAGTAGCCATGGCAATGGGTCTTCTATATAAGTCTATACTTATGACCATATTGTTATAGTAACTGAGCCACTGAATAAATGATAAGGATCCGGTGCATTCTAACAACTGACATTTCACATAGCGGTGCCCTAATATACCTGCATGGATGTCTGACAATAAGTTTTGCAATACTAATATTAACTCATACAACCTACTTTTATACACTAAGATAATCACACACACCTTCCCACCCCAATAAGCTCCCACCCCCTTCCCACGTCCCCAACTAGTTTAACAAAGTTATGCGCATGCAAAGAAACAGAGTGTATGACCCTAAGGGTGTGAACTATGTTCACACAGAGCTCTTCTGGCTCTGCCACAGGGCCAATCTGGAACAGCAGAAGTAACAATAAACAAAATATCAGGGTATTACTCCTGATTAGCACTTGACAATGGGGCCTTGTTCCTGAGGAACCCTCTTCCCCTTCCCCCTCTTCCATCAGCTATTAAGAAAAGGATAGCAACTCAAGGACTGTATAAACTTAACAACATTACTACACTAACAATTTAAACATTTTATACAACTTACTACACTAACAATTTAAACATTTTATACAACTAACAGGACTTTATGGTGTCATACGCAGTCTAGTAGGGATCTTGTTCCATCATTCCTTTTGAGGGGACCCCAGCCCCTCCCGTTTCCTCTTCTTGACATGAGTGGCCTCTTGCTCGCTAAGAGGTTCAAGGCCAAGAGCCTTTAGTAAAGCTGTGCCAGAGTCTGGATCATCGGCTTGGTGATTTGTCCCTCTGTGTCTGACTTGGAGGTATCCTGTAGACAGCCAGAGGTATTTGATGTTTGCTTCCTGCAGACGCTTGACTACCGGCTTTAAAACCCTGCGTATTTGCAGGGCATCAGGTGAGACATCAGGGAAGATCGTGATGTTATTCTGGTGATATTTAAAGCTGCTGCTCTTTTTCGCCTCTTGCAGTATACAAGAACGACTGCTTTCATGTTGTGTACACTTAGATCAGACATGGGAGGACTTCAGTGATGGGAACACTAAAAACCCAAAAAAACCTGTTTCCACAAATGTGGATCACAGTCAATGAGAAAAGCAAATATTGTTAGCCTACTTCTAACACTGCTCTGCTCAGAAGCAAAAATGAAGGATACATACACTGAATTGATGTTCTGCTCCTCCAACTGCACCTCCAAGGACAGTATACCCTAACAGGTAAGCGAGAGAGAGACCCCTACCTCAAGCTTTGAAGCAAATTCCCCACTCTCACCCCTGTAGCATGTATATTTTGTTTACTGCTCAACAACTCTTCCTTCCTTGATAGTTTCTAGTAATGTCTCCCACAAAGGGAGTGCAGGCTCAGTACACACAGTGCAGAAAGGGGGCTCCCTCCTGGAGTTATACCAGCAGAACATCACCATGATGTTATGCTGCTGTTACACTACATACTAGAGGGGGAATAGGCAGTACAACCCTATTTCTGAGATTATTATCCACCGCAACCATTGCTGTTGCTGGCCAAACAATCACAATGTCCTTTGCCTTGCAGGAACAGTGCCAATGGAAGCTGCAGAGTGTTCCAATACAGCTTCTTAAAAGGGATGGGTAAGTACTGGCTCAGTGACAACATCACCTAACAAGTGAACCCTAAAGTATAGCAGTCCCCCAAGCAGGAGGAGGTGTAAGAACTGACAGAAAACCTTGTGCTGCCATGCTCTCATCTATAGTTTACATCATGTATACTGTGCTTGAGCCACATACTTTTTTTACTACTGCAGAACATTAGTCATTACAATATTTCTTATGGTTCTTTCCAGGCAGCTCCCCAACAGCATTAGAGGCAAGGATGGACACAGTGCAACACTGACCACCTGGTGGGCTTGCAACAGCTGCAGTAAATATATACCTGTTCTGCTGTGTTGTTACCATCTCTCTGGTTCCTAGAACCAAAGTCTGCCTAATGGCTATAGTCTGGCTCCTGCACAATGCAAGATGCTTAAGAGACAGCTGTAGCTATCATGACCATGCAGTGACAGGCTCAGCTCTACCTATAATTCTTCTATCTGTCAGTGCCACTTCCAAATGCACAGGAACCCTCATAGGCCTACAAAGTTGGCAACTTCAACATCTAACTTGCATTCAGAATGCCATTCTTGATGCTGTTCAATAAATGCTTGGATTGCTTTACAGTTGTGCCTCTGTGTTAATGTGATCTGGCAGATAGGGATCTATGCCCACCCCTGGCTTTTTACTCAGTTTCCTGCAACAGAGAACTCATACTGGGAGGGTCCTCCAATGTCTGCACAGTTGTGTTCTAGCGAGGGCAGGCACCACCAGGTTCACAATTCCCCTGCTGATGGTTTATCATGGATAGTATGTGATAATCTATGCAGCAGGCTACATAAGGAGATGGAGCACAAAGGCTGCTGGTATGAGTAGCGGTGGTAATGAACCTCATGAATACAACTGGCGTCTGGGGCAGCAAAAAAGCCAATCCCCAGTGATTCACTCAGATGGTGCAAAATTGCAGCTGTGCCCAGGAAATATTTCAGGACTCTTCCTGAAGCTAGTAGCTAGTTTCATGCAGGGCTTGGACCAGCGACTTCATACATGCTAAGCCTTGTAAGCTTCCCTCTCTCTGCAGTCTTCCCTGCAAGGCTACATGGACAGATTTGAAAACAGGTCCAATGGAGGATTTCATGTGTCCCATCATGTATTTTTTTCCCTGTATACCCAGTTGGTGTGAGAGTAAGATGAAAGCTCTGCAGTCTATCAGATGTGGGTTCCGGTCCTGCTCATACTTTGCAGCTGATTGGCTTGTTGCTGACCAAAAGGTGAGTTCTGTCTTATTCCCAGCTTGCCCTTGGTGGGATTCAAACCTGCTCATTCCTGTTTCTCATGAGTGCTTTCTCTGAGTGAGCTACTGCAAAAAAATGACGGATATTCTTTCTGTGAAAGAGCAAGTGTGCATTCTCCTGCTGCTGTCCTGGGGTCTGGGTCTCCCTTGTTTTGCCAATACCTGTTCCTTGGAGTATTCTTCCCATGCTGGGACCTGAACCTTTATTTAGGTTATTTTATCTTTATTTTATTTCATTAGACTTATGTCCCGCCCTTCCCACACTGTAGGCTCAGGGTGGGTTCTAAACATATAGATCCATAGCTAGTGCTGTCATTTCTTTTCACTACTGATCATGGGATACAAACTAACTACACTGGTACCCTACCAGAACCAGCGATACACCTGCACCTAGGGCTTATGATGGAGCTGTTAATTACGAAAAAAACCAACAACACAAATGCTTGGGATAACTATGATATGCATAGGCATTTCTAAATTAGTGCATCTGCATCCTATCTAGTTTTCAGAGTTCTTAACTAAAACAGGTTTTAGTGTTGCCTTTGCTATGAACTCCCATAGTTCAATTTAAAACTATTCTGTTCTTCTCAAGAAAATATGACCTCCTACTTGAATTAAAAACACTGAAGTTGTTGTCATAAATATGCCGCCATCTCTCACCTGCTTTGTCATTTGCCATACGCAGTCGATGAACTGAAGGAAGATAGGTGACCTGTCAGCATCAGCATGATCATCATCTCCATGGCCTACTCGCTGGGGGGAAAACAAAGAATCCTCTGAGCAAGGTTTTCTTCTTTAAAAATTTGTTTTTAAAAAAGGAGCACATCAGAAAAGTTAAATTTCTTCAAGCAGCAGTTGAGTACTGTACAGAGTAGTTTACACTAAAATGAAACAAAAGAGGGCATTGTGTCTTTTTGTCACAGGCAGTGCCCCGCCCCAGTAAAAAAGAACAGTGGACTGATATAGAAGAAGGAAGTCTTTCAAACTCACCATTGCAAATGGTTTTGGGAGAATGTGTTAAAAAGTATTGAAAATATTACACAATTTTTTGTGCCTTTTGAGCCTGAGGTAATATTGTTAAATATAAGAGGTAAACTGAAGATATCACCAATGACCAATATGAGAATTGCTATATTGCTACATGCTGCAAAATTGACAATAGCGCAAAAATGGAAGAACGAACATCATTTTTCTTTATCACCATGGTTTGAAAATATTTGGCAATTATACTTAATGGATAAAATTAAGTGGACAATTAATAATGTACCTTATGAAAAATATAAAATAGAATATTCAGTTTGGTTACCAATTTTGGAATTTTTAAGTCTACAAAAGGAAATATCAGAGGACATCTTTAAAAAATGATAGACCTATGTTAAGTTTTATTATGGTTAGTTATATGTTATACTGTTTAGTTAATGCTTGTTATGATATTGTTATTTGAAAAATACTGTATATTGAAAATTTAATATAATTGTATATTTAAAGTTAATAAAATATATTAAAAAAAAAACAAAAACCCAAAAAAACTCACCATTGCAAACCGATGTCCAAAACTCATCCACTCCTTCTCCAGGAGGACCTGAAAGCCTTTGATGGTTCTGTAGTGGCTGTCCAACATGAGCATGGCTAAACAGGTAAGCTGAGTGGTACGATCCCAGCCGTCACTGCAGTGTACCACCACTGATGTTTTACCAGATTCGATTTTGTCAGCGATTCTCACTGCTCCAGCAAGAAGCATCTTTAGAAAGAAGCAAAGTCCCAGGTTGAGACATTTACTATTTATTTAAATAAAATATATTTATTTTGTCTAAAGACATCTTATCTTGGAGCACAAGATCTAATCTACTCTTCTGTTTTCATCCATGAAAAGCTGGATGTGTCAGGCAGCTCACAAGTGTAACATATCACAGCCCTTTCCTTGCTGACTGTCTCCAACATCAGGTAGACATTCATGGAGATTTAGTTTAACTATCATGGTTTACAGACCTATCCTCTATAAATGCTACACAGACTACAGTGTGCAGAATTCTCAACTGCTTATAGTATCTGCTAGCATGTTTGACTTGATAAGAAATCCATGCTTCACTGTGCTCAATCTGATGGCTTAGTTAACAATGTAAACAGGGTTGCACTTACCTGTAACCGTTGTTCATTGAGTGGTCTTCTGTGCAGACACATATGGGGACTGCACAGTTGCATGCCAGCCATGGAGAGTTTCCACACTTTAGTAGAATTTTCCAGAGCCTGAGAGTGCTCCCCCTCCCCTCTGTCTCCAGTAACTCCTTTTCTGCCCAAAGGGTCACGTGACAGAGGTAGGGCGAGCACTATCTCCTCAGTTCTTCCTTTGCTGCCCTAAGGAGCTACTGAGAGATATCAGTAGAGCAGCCCACAGCAGGGAAAGGAGGGAGGGATGTGTGCGTGCACAGAAGACCACTCGCTGAACAACGGTTACAGGTAAGTGCAACTCTGTTTTCATCATCGTGGCTTCTGTGCAATCCCAGCAAACTTACTTACCAAGGAGGTGGGTGCAGGCTTTTACTTTACTTTTACTTTACAATTCGATTTATATACCGCTCTTTACCCCTAAGGGGTCTCAGAGCGGTTTACAGGTATACTACGTATGTAGTTGTTATCCTAACCTAGGGCCACAATTCAAGGGGGGAGGGGCTGCCTACCGACACCCAAGCAGCGCGTTCTCTCTTTTTGTTGTTGTTGTTGATTTCCCGGGCAGGCTTCGGATGCTGTTCCCGGCGCCTCAGGCTGGCCGGCGACTACCTCCGGCAGGCTTCTGATGGACTCCTCCGACATGCGACCGCTTCTGACTGCAGCTTCCGGCTTCCATCCCTTAGGCTCCTGCTGTGCTGCGTCGTCTCGCCGTCGCGTCGCCTCAACTCCACCTCCATCCGGTTCGGCCACCGCATCCTTGGGTCGCCAGTTGCTCCGCCGCCATTGCTGTTACCGCCGCCGCCAGCACTCCCGGCACGCAACCAGGAGGAGGGTGCCCCCTGCCACCTAGGGCAGGTACCCATTTGTCTATTTGCGAATGCTTTCGAGCCGCTGGGTGGGCGGGAGCTGGGACTAGGGCCGGGAGCTCACCCCGGCCGCGGTGGGTCTCGAACAGGCTGATCAGCAGAAAACTGACTGTAGGACCGCTTTCCCAACAGCTGCCTCACTGAGAGTCCATGTCCATGGAGTAGTGCTGGAAGAATGTTGAGGGCACTGACCAGGTGGCTGCCTTGTAGATGTCACCTAAGGATAGCCTGGACAGGAATGCTGCCGATAAAGCTTGAGTCCTCACAGAATGCACCCTCAATGCAAAAGGGCAAAGTATGCCTGCCTCTTTGTACGCTGTTTTGATTGCTGAAACTACCCACCTAGACAGAGGCTGAGTGGATGCTGGCTTCCCCTTATTTGGACTTCTAAAACAAATGAACAGGTTCCTATCCAGTTTGGTGTAGTGGTTAAGTGTGCGGACTCTAATCTGGGAGAATTGGGTTTGATTCCCCACTCCTCCACTTGTACCTGCTGGATGACCTTGGGCAAGCCATAGTTCTGATAAGAGCTGTCCTTGAAGAGCAGTTTCTGTCAAGAGCTCCCTCAGCTCCACCTACCTCACAGGGTGTCTGTTGTGGGAAGGGGAAGGGAAAGGACTTCGTAAGCCGCTCTGAGACTCCTTTGGGTAGTGAAGGGCAGGGTATAAATCCAATCTCCTCTTCTTCTATCCTTCCTAAACTCTTCTGTGCATTTTAAATTTAAAAAGAAGTGCTCTCCTAACATCTAGTGTATGTACTGCCTGTTCAGATGCAGAAGTCAGGAAAGAGAAAAACAATGGGTGATGTCCTGATTTATATGAAAGTGAGTGATGACTTTCGGTAAGAAAGCCAAGCTGGGTCTCAGAACCACTTTGTCTACCCAGAACTTGATAAAGGGTGGATCGCAGCTTAGTGCCCACTCTGCATGCGGAAGTAATTGCCACCAGAAAGGCTGTCTTATATGACAAGAAAGGCGGGTCAGACTTAGCCATTGGTTCAAAGGGTTTATGTATTAACTTTGCTAGAACAAGGGACAAACTCCATTGTGGTACAGGGTGCACAAGAGGTGGGTACAAATTATGTAAACCTTTAAGGAACTTTTTAGACTCAGTCACTGAGAACACAGAAGAACTTCTAACACCCTTATGAAAGGCAGATATGGCAGCTAAATGAACCTTGATGGATGAGGAGACTAAACCCCCATCCTTCAATGTTAACAAATAATCAAATATTTTAGACAAATCACATGTGTCTGGCCTGACCCCTTGGTCTTCTGTTCACTTTGCAAACCTCCTCCATTTGGAAGAGAAAGATTTCGAGTGGAGGGCCTACGAGGTGCAAGCACAACTTCCTTGACTCTTTTGGATAGGTTACTTAAGGGAGAATCAGCCATGCTGTCAGATGCAAGGAGTGGACGTTGGGATGACAGATAGAGCCTACCTGGAATAGATCGCCTGCTGGGAGTATAACCCTGTGGACTCTTTTGGCCAGCTGCCACAGATTGGAAATCACACCCTTCTGGGCCAGTAAGGCACCAGAAGTATACAGGTGGTCTTGTCGACTCTTAATTTGGCAACCACCATGTATAGAATTCCAACTGTGGGGAACCCATAGAAAAGGTAACCATGCCAGCATAACTGGAATGCATCCCAAAGTGATTCCTTGTCTGCTGCTGCCCTGGAGCAATAAAGGCAGCATTTGATGTTGGTACTTGATGCAAAGAGGACTATGTCTGGGAAATCCCATTCCTCAAAGATAGGAGCCAGATAAGGGTTGGCAATCTACTACTCCTGATTTATGTCTATGCTTCTGCTCAGTATGTCTGCTAGTGTGTTTTCCTGACCTGCAATGCGTATGGCTGTTAGGTGCCCATTGCCAGGTGAATGATAGTTCTCTGTACAGGCAAATGGAACCCGTTCCCCCGTTTGTTCACACAGAACTTGGCCGTCGTGTTTGTTGCTCGCAGAACATGATGTCCTTTTAGCAACACTGTAAGAGAAGTGAAAGCATGCCTATTTGACCTGAGTTCTAAAAAGTTAACATGAAGTCTTGCTGGGACCATGTGCCCTTTACCCTGAATTCCCCACAGTGTGCCTCGCAACCCCCCAGGGAGGCATCCGTTAACACTTGTACATCATGGGACTGTACCCTACCTGAATCCTTTTGAGCAAGTGTGCTAATTTTGTCTATGAAGGTTCACCCCAGGGATTAACAACTTCTTTCATTGAGCATATATCTCGGGCTGAATGCCCATATAAACTAATTCTGGAGCAGTCTTGTGTGTAATCTGGCAGGTGGAGTTACAGCCAAGGTCGATGCCATGTATCCTAGCAACCTCTGAATACTTTTGGCAGACTGGGCCCTGTTGGCTCACATTTCCTCCACCAAAGCTATGGTGGCCCTAGCTCTTTGTAATGGCAGGTATGCTCTAACCTTTACTGAATCTATCTTGGCTCAGATGAAATCAACAGATTGGGTTCAAGAAAGGTAGGATTTTCTCCAATTAATGAGGAACCCTAGCTCTTGTAGAGTGCTCAGTGTTAGGCGTAGGTCCTGTAACAGGCCTTCAGGGGAGGTGCCCACTAGGAGCCAGTCATCCATGTATGGGTAGATGATGCATCCCTTTAACCTCAGGTATGACACGACAACTGAGACACATTTGGTGAATACGCTAGGGGTGGTGACAAGCCCAAAGGACAAAACTGTATATTTGTGATACTGTTGTGGGGAGAGATCTGAGATATTTACTGCACATCTAATGGATTGCTATATGAAAATATGTGTCCTTGAGGTCCAGTACTACAAACCATTGATCCTTGCCCAACAAGAGCAGGACCTCCTGAAGGAGCAATATCCTTAACTTTAAAATACGTAAGTATCTGTTCAGAGTCCTTAGATCTAAGATGGGTCTCCCCCCCCCATCTTTTTAATTAATTGCAAAATAATGAGAGAAGAACCCTTTTCCCTTCAAGCCTGGAGGAAATTCTGTGATGGAGCCCTTGGAAATGAGGGAAGAAATCTCCTGTGACAAGAATATGGCAGAGCCCAGAAAGGACTCTGCGGGGTGATGAACTGGAGACAGAGATCTAAATTCTAAGAAATAACCCTTTTTTATTATGGACAATACCCAAGAGTCATCTCTAAGTTTTAACCATGCATCAACAAACTTAGCTAACCGGTCCAAAAAGAATGTTTCCTGTGCTAGTCAGGACAGCTCTGAACCTCTAGGGGGCTGGCCCCTTGGGGAGTGAGTGGAATGTTTACCCCTTTGGTTAAATTGCCCTTTGTTCTGGGTCTGCTGAGAATACGAAGGCCTGTAAGATTGGTGTGAGGAGGGGCGCTATACTAGTATTGAAGCTAGCGGTATAACCTGGTAGACTGAAACATCTGAGAGTGCCTCAGAAAGTACTGTTGCTTAAAAGGCTGTGTGGGGTTAGGAGTGATCCCTTAGTATTTTGTTATCTTGTTTTTTCTGATGTGATCCAAAACATCATCTTTCTGTTTGCTAAAAAGCTCCCAACTTTCACATGGAAGGTCCTCTATCTTGACCCTACTGTCCTGGCGCGGAGCTGATGACTTCATCCACAAGTGTCACCTGACAACTATCCGATGCCACGGCCCTTCTGTGGCAATCTGCTACATGTCTGGCAGCATTTAACTGATGCTTGCTCCATTTTTGCCCTTCCAGAAGAAGCACTTCGCCAATTGTTTTTTCTTATCAGGGACTAATTCAATGAATTGTGACATGCGGTCCCACAATAACATTTGTTGTCTTCCCATTATGGCAGTAAAATTCATGACACGTAGTCCCATGGCCCCCGAAGAATAGGCCTTGCGGCCTAAGCAGTCCAGTCTATGGCCTTCTTTGTCCAGTGGGGATGAGCAGGATCCTGATCTGCCCCATGCAGGTAAGACTTCAGATATCAAACAGTTAGCTGGTGGGTGATGGAAGACATAAGAGCAGTCATCTTCTCTGACTTTGTACAGATTTTCAAGCTTCCTGGCAAAGGTTGCAGACAAAGAAGGCTTTGACTATACACTAATTGCAATATCCCTAATACCCTGAAGCATGGGTAGTGGCATAGATCCTGAACCTAGAGCATACAGGACTTTCATGATGGGGTTGACGGGTTGTGGCTCTGAAGCTAGATACTTCAGGTCAAGTGCCTTTGCCATCTGAATAAGTTGTTTGGAGTTTCAAGTCCTCTGTCAGCGATGGGGCTGATGGTTCACCCATAGCATCGTCAGGTGATGGCATGGAGGTATTGTCATGAAAGATATTCCCCAGTGTATGTGTTTGCATTTATCTTTTAATTGTTATCTTGTGGAAATTAGAACCCCATGTATAAGAATTTTCTGGATTTATTGAAAAACAATAAAAATACCCCCTTGGGGGTTTCAAAAAAAAGAAAAGAAAGAATTTTCTGGATTGTTACTTAAGGCATTGAAGTGTTTTGCTTAACAGCACCTGGATGAAGTTACCTTACAGTGGAATTGCTAGCAGATGGGAGCTGTCAGAGTAATTCTTTGACAGTTGGTCATCTGTCATCTACACAACATTACAGCCGAAATGTCAGTTTGACAGCTAGTGATCTAGATCTCAATTTAGATCAGCTAGATTAAGTAACTGACCATGCTGATTGGTTACTTAATTAGCAAATGAGAGCTAGGCTAGTATATAGGGCAAGGGTAAGGAAGCTAGAGGATACAGACTGATGTGACACAGAGAGACGCTAGCATCATGCTGATGGATACAGACTTGTGAAGAGCACGTGAAACTGGAAGAAGGACCTTCAGTACTTTTGCTTTCCCGCATTATCTGCTGCTAGAAGGACTGCTATTCAAGACATCTGCTGGAGCCTTGGAGCTGTAAGCTGATTAGGGTCAGTGTCTAGAGGTTAGATAGGTTTGTTGTTTTGTCTTTGTCCCATTGTACAGTCTATTCCCCTACTTGTAGAAGAAGAAGAAGAAGAAGAAGAGATTGGATTTATACCCCGCCCTTCACTTGGAGTCTCAGAGCGGCTTACAAACTCCTTTCCCTTCCCCTCCCCACAACAGACACCCTGTGAGGTGGGTGGGGCTGAGAGAACTCTGACACAAACTGCTCTTTTTCAAGGACAGCTGTGCCAGAGCTTGTGACTGACCCAAGGTCACATCAGCAGGTGCAAGTGGAGGAGTGGGGAATCAAACCCGGTTCTCCCAGATTAGAGTCCGCACACTTAACCACAACACCAAACTGGCTCTCGCCAGTTGTATGTTTGTATGCTTTGTCTATTTTGTAATAAATTCCTAAAATTGTGTTTTTAACCATTGGAGTGAGTTACTAGTCCAGAACCCAAGTTCTTTTTGTTCCAGTACCAAATTTATGCTACCAAACAGATTTTTTACTAATTGGTTATAATTGAACTTTTTTATTTTATAAAATCTAGGTTAGTTGACATTGCCGAGGCACCCTGAAGTCGTGACAGGTATCTTCCGAGCCCGACTCTGAGTCATGATCCAGTCCCTCCTCCAATTCTGAAAACAGTGCCATCTCAGTAGGTGTGTGAAGTAAAGGTTGGGGATCCTTACCTTTCTTATGTTGGGGGAGGTGTGGAAGTTGCCAAGGGAATGAGAGCTGCTGCAAACTGTAGAGTTCCCTTTGAGATGGAACCATCACAGAGAATGGGAACCACGGCTGATGCTGCATAGGCTGAAGTTGGGGCGCCTGTTGTTTGTGACTCCTAGCAGATCATCCAAAGACCTCAAGAGATGTGGCTCATGTTCTAATGGCGATGGTGTTCTCGGCATTGTGAAGGTCCCAATGTGGATTGGCGTTGGAGATAGACAGTGTTGAGGGGACATCAACCAACACTCTCTCAGCAAAGATGGTCAGTCGGCACTGATTCAGGGAGCCCTGTCGATTCCAAGGGGAGATGGATCCTCAGTGTCAAGGCCTAGTTGAAATTGACCAGTGTGGAGAAGCCTGTTGTGAATATTTTGTTTTCTTTTTCGATTTCTTGGATGGTGGTTCTGACACTGAGTGCATCAGTGCCAATTTGTCTGAAAGTTCCAACATCAATGGCGTTGAGAGGAAGGCCATTGACAAGGCTCATGGCCATTTACTGGAGTGCGCCCGCTTTTCTGTCTACGCTTCTGGGGCTCCCAGGGCTTTCCCCCATAAGACTGCCTTAAACCTGGCAGCTCTACCATCACAGGCTTTCAGAGTAAGGCAGCATGCGGGGCATGAGGCCGTATTATGCCCTTCACCGAGACACAATAGACATCACTTATGGTCATGGTTCTCAGTTTTTCTGGCTCCACACTCTTCATTTTTTAAATACTGGCTCTGGTAATCAATGTAGTGATCTGAAGCCAAGAAAAAGTTGAAAAAAGACGCAGCTTGGAAAGACTTATGACAGCAAGAAAAGAACCAAGGGCAAAGTGCTTGCCTTGTTTCTGTCACATGATCCTTTGGGTGGGAAAGGACTTACTTGAAATGGAGGGGGAGCACTCGCAGGCTCTGGAAAATTCTACTAAAGCTTGCAAATTCTTTTCTCCATGGCTGACCTGCAACTGTGCAGTCCCCATGTGTGCCTGCACAGAAGCCATGATGATGAACAATAGGTTTTATTCCATTTATCTCTGCCAGGGAATGTATCCATTTCAAAAACTTCAAACATGTAGGTTAAACCTAGTGAAAACTAAATATATTATCAGACCGTGATATTAAAATTAATCCTATTGCCATTGAAATAAGAAGTACCTACCTCCACCAACATCTGTAGAACCTGTGCTTTGGTCCACGGACACCACAAAAAATTAAACTATTACAAATGAGATGCTTCTGATTTGTAGATTTGTAGTTCCCATGGCAGTTTGCCCAAGAAAGAGATGGAGAGTTACCTAGAGGAATGTGCCAGCCTTCCATATTGCAATGCAATAGAGTCCTGTACAAGACTGAATATGACCCCTCAAGTTCTCAGCGAAACATGAGAACTGATGTAGTGTGGCATACTGGGGATCAGATAGCCTCTAGTTCAAATCTCACCCACTCCTATAAATTCATTAGGTGGTGTTATGCAAGACACCATAGGAGTATAATACTACTGATCAGACCTTATGGAATTGTTGAGATGAGGTATCAGAAGAGATGTATACATACTCCTATTGCAGTGTGAAATCCACAACTGTCTAGCTTTTACATTTTTACCCCATCCTTTCTTCCAGGTGCTCAGGGCAGTGTATATGGTTCTCCCCCATTGCATATTATCCTAACAACAGCCCTGTGAAGAAGGTTAGGCTGAGAAAGAGTATGACTAGCCTGAGGTCTCCCACTGAGCTTCAGCCCATATTCCAACCACTATGCCACACTGACATAGCATCAAAGTACAGCAGTAATGGAAAAATCACATTTTAATCAAGCAAGATTTCACCACCTTTCAGATCTTGGGAAGATAATGTAAGAGTAAAGTCTGGAAATAAACTTCAATATAATTTAATCTAACACTTCAAAGCAAAGACAGAAGATATTTTCATCAAGCCCATTACCCGTATATATTCCAGCCAGTGAGTACTCTCCACATTGGACAGCCATCGAGACTCATCAATTGTAGGGTAAACTATTTCTTTCAGCTTACGCAGTGACTCTCTCATCACATGGATATTTGGGATCTCCAAGAAGATCAGCTCAACATTTGGGTAGGCACTTTCACTTTCATATCCCCCGCCTTTTGCCTGCAATCACAAATCATCTTACATAAATTATTTAAATAATTTCAGTATTTCAACAGTAAATACCTAATTGTTACTTACAAAAGCACATCATTAATAGTGAACTTTAGCTACAGACATCTTTGTAATGTTTTGTATGCTTTCTTGAAACGCCACTTTCAAACTACACCCAAAAGGCCTTTCCCTTGGTCTGTCAAGGAACTTGCTTGCTAGAAAGTGAAACATGCAGTTTCTTCTGCGTCTTGACACTCTTGAGTGGTAACCTAGACAAGACAGGCCAATTGTATTCCACTTTCCTTCCTGCCAGACCACCTTAGATATGAATAGGTTTGAATTACTGTCCTATTCCTTCTTTATGCTATTCTTTACTCTTGCCCCTCAAAAATACTTGTATGCCAGTGAATTCAAAATGTAGATTACAATCTACCTGGATGCACAAGTCTGGCTCTCTTATTACTTAAGGAGGCCAGAGTTGGATAGTAGTTGTGTTTTGTCTGGATATGCTCTTTAGGGAACCCAGACAACATGGCTGAAATTCCTATTTCTTCTCCAAGTTGGAAGAAGCCCAACGGGTTGAGAACTTCTTGGAAATATTCTGAAAACAAAGGGATGTACCTGTGAGTATGCTTAGAATTTTGCCTGCATTTGTCAGGCACAGAGGAGTGAAGAAAATGCCTCTTTTTTCGCACTGCTGGTCATTTTTTTCTGCTTTCACACTTTTAAAATGCCTTGTAAATATTGGGGGAAGGGGTTGATTTTTAAGGAGTTTTGAACAGGACTCTCTAAAAGTCTTGTAGTTAGCTATGCTCCAAGAGGTCTATTCTAATTTTAAACTTTACTAGATTCTGTCCTCTAGTTTTATTTGCTAGCCTGCATCTATTCTGTTTTTCTCCCTCTTTTTCTTTAGTATCTCTGAATGATTTATTTTGCTAGTGCCAGTGTACAGATGACCTTGGCTAACTTAGTGTATGGCTGACCTTGTTCAACTTAGTTTACACTTCTATTCTTTATCTGTTGATGAAGGGAGATTTAGCTGTATGAGTTTAAATTTATAATAAATCATATTTAAAGGGCTTATCCCTTTGCATTTTGCCTGTAAGAGTTCCTTCGCATTCTGTGTACAAGAGTTTTCTAAATAACCTTAGTTCCTGTTTGCTTTGTTTTACAAGTCACAGTTAATAACCTGTTTAATAGAGCACAAGGAAATTTAGCTGGATTATTTAGACTGCTTGGATTTTTTAGCTTAGTTGAATTAACTCGTTCATAATAAGAAATATGGGAAGGAAAGGGGGCAGTGCTCTTTGAAGGTTGTTTGCCTGTTTGTAAGCAGAATGGAATAATTTTTTAAAAAAATCTTTCACCAACAATAATTTCTAATAGATTTGACTGTTTATCCAGTAAAGTTCCAGACCCTTGTAGTTCTAACAATCTTTCTGTTTGTTCCCAGCAGGACTCTCTAATCAATTTGGAAGCCTTTGATAAGATCCTGAAAATAAACACTGCCACAAACAAGAGATCAGAGACACTAGCTTTACTAGCACCCCAAACCCTTTTAATCTCAGAAAGATCGACCTGTTCTCAGAACAGATTGGTATTCTCTTAGCCAAACCAAGTGGAAAGGACTGTTCAGACCCTGAGAATAAAAGATTCATGAAACAACCACTGCCATCCACAACTTTACACAATACTTTTACTGGTAAAGAGCCGACTAAGGAGAAGGAGGGGAAAAGGTTGGATGGAACCTTTAGGAAGAATTTCTGCACATCACACCCAGCTCCTTCACCCTCCCATTTTGGAACATAATAAAATTTCCTTGAATATTTTCCCTTATCAAGGCCACACGATCAATTCATCCACAAAGTATGCAGCTAAGGAACATCTTTCCTTTTCGCTACACAGGCATCCATCAATTGATCTGAAATATCTAGAAAGGGTGCCAGGGCTTATTAAGGGTGAAAGATTCAATATCCGTAGTGGTCAAGTCTTAAGGTTACAGTTCGAAAAGTAGAAATGGTGGCAGCATATGGATTTTTGTTTTAAAATCCTTTGAGGAGATCAGGAAAGGCAGCTCAGTTAGGAAGGCAGGAATTTGGCCTGGAAAGCACTCTGTGTGATTACAGAAACCAGGACCACCATCTGTTGTGACATTTTAAGCAATCATCAGAGTGCATTTTTTTTAAATTATCCATGTATTCTTAAAAGTAATGTTAAGTGCAAGCTTGTTAAGAAATGCTTCTTGTATGACTTCATGCCTTGCCCTTGCTAAGAGAGAGAGCACTTTTATGACCCCGTTATTTCTTATCTTACCTTGGAAACTTTCCAGTGTTTGAGCAGGAATTGATTTTAATTGCTAGGCTTCATATTATGTAAGTTTTAGATCATTAGCCACAGTTCCAGGTATTTTACTTCACAGATAGAATAATGTCAAAGTAACAAGTTTATTATATGCACAAGTTTTGATAGTCCTTTGTTCTTTGCTAAAGATTCCAGTAAGTATTTTATTCTTGAGGAAAATTATTTTGAAGTCTGTGAACAGAATCCACGGCAAGCGATGCTGTATTAGGTAAGAAATTCTCGGGCCCTGGGCCTCTTTAAACATAGGATCTAAAATCTGACTCGTGTTTACTTAGTAGTATCATTTACTTGTAGTAGGATCAATTACTTGTAGATAACAATATAATATGAAAACTTGTTTGTTTCTCATGAATTTTATATTTACTGGTTCTGTATGCTTATTCCTCGTATCAGTATTTTTATTGAGTGCCTGCTTAATAAAAGAGTTAAACTTTATTTTAATAAAGAAAATGTACTATAAACTTTTCTGCTAGGTTGGCTGAGGGTTTCAATGCCTGGACCCCTATAAATTATACAGTCATCATATCAAAGTCAAATTCCTCTCAAAGAGTGCCTGATTGTGTAAATTTTACAGTTTTAAGTTCAGTCAGAGAGGAGCTTCTGTTTCCATGTGGCTGAACTCAGAGTAATCACTTAATTAGGAACTAATTAAATAATCTGTTACATGTCAATCTGCCCATCTCGCCCCCAATACTATCCCTTCATGAATATTTTACCTTATTTGTATCTGCAACACTGTTCTGTCTGGCATCAAAGATAAAAAGCTTGTGGGACTGAGCGTTGGCATCCATGATTGTTTGCAAATATTTCTCATCTTCTTTGCAGCGTTTGTCATTTGGGCCTACTAGAGGCTGGCTACATCGTGTGATGGTAGCTTGACTCTCAGGGTGGATCCAGGATAACACCTAAGTTAAGAAGAAATGAACAAAACCACAAAGGTCTCTGAAGCAACTCATTTGTCAAATTAAAAGCAGACCTGAAGTAGTTAGGACAGAGAAAAAACAATTAGGGGAGGAGATTAACGCAATTTAAATGGAAAATGAACAAAGATTTGGGACACAACCAAGCATTTAGTTCTACACATCCAAAGATAGTTACTAGAGCACTAGCTGCCCTCTTTCCTCCACAGGAAACCATATCTACTTTTGAAACTGAGAAGACCTGTCAAGGGGATGGCCTGACTGACTGCCATTTGGCTGCTGAAAAATTAATGCGTAAAAACCCAGCTCTTTGAATCCCAGTCTTTATTAACAACATGTTTATTACATATAATTATATTTCCTTTAAGTTAGCATTTCGTGTCTACAAAAACAAGACAAGCACCAACTTGAATAAAAGGATTTTCAAACTGGGAAGGATTTTGATTTGTCAGTTCCCTCTCTGACCTCTGGTATTATTCTTCCTATGACTAACAGAACAGCATTTCTGCTGAACTTATCACTGAACTTATTTGCAAAGTGCATTTTTTAACTTTCTGTACAGAAATAAATTAAATATTTCTTTATATGTTACACTTCAGCTCCTGGACCGGTAACGGGACCGGTAACGTTTCTTTGCATTCCCTTTCATGTCATACACAGGCTTCCTACGAAAAATGAATTGGTCTGCTTACTTAGAAGCTTTCTGTGACTGAACAGTTGTCCAGATCAGAGCCCCGTTCACATAGGAGAGCCAAAAAGGGCACACACTGTGGAAGCAGCTGCAAGTAGCACAAAAGTGGGCAAGGACTCCATTTGAACACCCCATACCTGTGCCACTTGCTGCTATCACCACCCCACCCCTCCCTTTTCCCAGTATCACATCGCTGCAGAAACGCTAAAGATGGCATATGTAGAGCTTAACTACACCCCCATCTGCAGACTGGCTACAGGCAGAGGTTCCACATGGAAACTCTGCCCACGCTCATACCACATTTCCTTGCTCAAAGCAGACCAAAGGATGTTTTTCTTAGATTAAATTTCAACACACAAGCCCTGAAAGCCCTACAAGTTGTGCTTGGAATGAGAACAATTTCATGTGGAGGCTTCCCAAAAATGTGCGGGGATGCTACTCTATATTCATCCCCATGTGGAAGCAACTGGATGTCATAAATTACACCACAACCTTACACAGCAAGAGGGGTTTTTTTTTTAAGTCAAGTATCTTACTTACTGGAACTCTGCCTTTTGCCCTGAATGCTGCTACTCTGGAGAGGTCATCATCTTTTACACTAGTTGGCACAACAAGAATGGCAGGATACGTATCGCAAAGCTCATACATACTATTAATTTTAGATATTTTCCAGCTCTCATTAGGTAATCCCTGCACAGAAACAAAGTTTTCCATTAGTGTTTTTTAAAAGAAACCTGATTTTATTGAGCTAAATTCAGAGCCTACAAGGAATAAATAAAATAATTATATAGTACCCCAAGTCTTTTTTTGTATAGGGATTCTGAAAATGACACAAATTTATTGTTTACCATTAGCATATGGGGTAATATAAAGTTTAAAGCTTGACCAGATTAGAAACTCCACTTGGTCACAAATACAGCTAGCTGGATAGGGAGCCTGTCTTCAGTAACAGGAAGATTTGTACACTCTGGCATACTGGTTGATTATGCAGCATATCTAAATGATGACATCTGAATTTGCTTGTTTTCCTCTTCCCTCTGTGTCCTTTTTTAATACTAATGAACAAAAAAGGAGGGGGGATTCAACCCAGAACAAACCAGGTAACCAAAGTGGCTGCTTTCTCTCAAATATTTTCAAAAAGCCTCTTTGAATGATGACAATTGTTTTGTATGCCATTATTTTATACTTTAAACTGCCTTGAGAGCATTCATGTAGTAAATAAAGTAAGTACACCTGGAAAAAAATTATGATGACTTCTTGGGCTCACACAGCAATGCATACCTAAGGGTGTTTCCTGTGAATTTGTACAGACATGGCTCATTGATCGCAACAAAAGAGAAAGACAGACCACATGGAAAGGGTCTAATCACCTAAACTGCACACAACTCAAACATCAGTTCTAGGAGTGGCTCTAGAGCAATTAATTTGGGAGAGCAAGGAGACAACGGCAAAGATACATTTGATCAGCTCCACCATTCTACCAGACAACACTAAGTTCACAGACAAAATATCAGGAACTAGATGATTCACCTGGACGTATCCTAGCCATATACTGGCAAATTTCATGTTTCAGGTCTCCTAATGTTTGTGGATATGCAGATGAAGAATACAGAATATTATTTTGAAATGTGAATATTTTTATTACCTACCTGCCTCTTATATTCTGCCATTGGATCATAAACTTTCCAGCCATTAACAGGAAATTTTTCTTTATAGCTGAATGCAAACAATGGCTGAATGCAGTGAAACAAAAGCACACATTACTAAACCTATTTCATTTCACAACAGAATTAATGGGAGCATTCTATCTATCTATCTATCTATCTATCTATCTATCTATCTATCTATCTATCTCATACTCTATCTATCTATCTATCTATCTATCTCATACTTCTTCTTATTAGTTCTAAGCAGATTACTAAAATATTGAAAAATTCAAACCCCATTTGAACGGCTGCAAAATCAGGGAGCCTTTTATCATGAATTTCAAGCATCCAGAATGTTCAATCAATCATTTCAAACACAGCTTACAATTCTGTATTCATTAATAAACACGCAAGAGATAGCACCATTCTAATGTTAGTTATTTAGAATTAGTAATTCCATCAATGGAATTTCACTTTAATGATGCTTAGGACTGTAGCCTTAGTTCTTTTATCTACCTCACTGAAAACGTTTGTTCAGCCAGAACAGTGACAATAATCAATCAGTAGTCTAATACTTTTTGCAGACTGTTTGTTTCTCCATGCTTCTTCTCTTCACCATGAAGGAGAGAACTCCAGAACAGAATACTTACCAGCCCATGAGAAAGAGGAAATGCTCGCGTAATAAGGTTCTGAAAAATCTCCAGTCTATGCTCTTCCTGTTTATAGGCAAACCGCAAATTTCTCATATCCTGTCAAATAGAGTTAGTTACATCAAAATGAAAGAGTTTGCAATTGCTGCTTGTACTAAGGAGCCCCTCTTCTTAATCCAGCAAAATCATATTCTAGACACCAACTACTAAGAATATACCCCATATGAACAAGCTACACCATTACATTTAGCAAAGAGGTGAATGAAACAGCTATCACCTGCAGCAGATACAAGAGTCTTCCATTAAAAAAGGACTGCATCATGAAAACACACATTAAATCATTGGAGGGGGGGGGAATGCTTCATGATGTATGAATGGCAGTGCAAACGGATGTCTCATTACCTCCCTATTCTCTAGGAGTTTTGGTCAGCCAGACTGACCTTATATTCACTCCACACACACAAAACCCCCAAAACACCTGCATTGTGTTTAGCATGCAATTAACTGACCCTTTCCTTCTATCAGTATGAATATTCCATGGCATGGCACTAGCTAAGCCAGAAAATTGGTAGGGTTCACAAAGAACAAACAAGCAATGCCCTCTGATACACAAACACACATCAAAAGAGAATTAAACACTAAGGAGTAACAATGTGAGTACCAGTGTGTTTTCTTAAGATTAAATCAATACCTTGCAAACAATTTCTATACCACAAGAGTTATCTCCATGGCTCTGCACTCCAATCTTTTCAACCCTATTTATCACTCCAAGAGGAACATCAAGAACAAAATGGGGATCCTGAAATTTGAAGAAAAGTAAACCCTTTTTATTATTCATTGGTACAAATTTTTAATACAGTCAACATGAGATAAAATTATACAGTTAAGTGTGGAACAACAAAAAATAACAAGAAAAATATGTTGCTATTTAAGATGTGCATAAAGGAAAAAGGACTCACCCTTTCAACATTCTTGAAATACATTTTGAAATCTGTCACTGTCAATGTACCACTGATGGCTCCAATAAATGGACAGATATACATGACATCTTTAGCTGGTTAAAATAAGGATGTATTAATGCTTGTTATCCCTACATAGGATTCTTCTTATATATACACATATGTAAACATATAAACAATATTTCTTCCAAGAAAGTTGTTGAACTTTCAAATGCCTTTTTTAGTATGGCATCAACATGGAATAACTGGTTTCGGGTAGCAAATTACTTCACAAGATATGAAATAACCATTTTGGGGATCCCTGAAATTACAGGAAAGAACCTGGAGGAGCTTGCTGAAGCTAAGAGCTCTGGTCGGTGTCTTGATGGTAACAATTTCCACAACAATTCTAACTGAATCTCAGCCACTTGAAAACAGAAAGTAAGAAGGCTGAAGTCTCCATCCCATAGTATGTTTAGATCACTCTTCCTAACAATGACAACTATATTCAAAAACAGCTCTCAAAGCTGCATGCATTAGTCATATGGAAGAGTTCACGCTGCAGGAAGTGAGAAGACATCAAACCCGTCTTTCCCTTGTTGCAACCTATTCAATAAATAATTTTCATTTCCAGAAGATTAGGAGTAGAACAAGCAGTGCTTCAGAAACCAGATACAGACAGCTCCTTTTGAATAAAATATGACCCAACAATTTCTTTTAGCAATAAGGCACTTCTTAGTGTTACAGCAAAGAAGCCCTTTGTCTGAGCCAAGTTGGTGAAAATAAACTGTTAGGTGTTACCCACTTTTACCAGCAGTGAGAAAAAGAGTTGGTTTTAGTCCAGGATTTTGTTTCCTTTAATCCAGGGTTTTGTTTCTTTTGGATGACAGATTTCTGGAGACTTGTAGTATCATTGTAATACTGGTTTTATTTACAAGTAGAGACTATTTCAGATTTCTGAAACATGTGGAAAACAGTGCATACTACATAATGAATCAGAGAGCGACAGATTCAGGTGGATAGCTGTGTTGCTCAGAAGCAGCAGAGAAAAGTTTGGGCCAGTTTTGTCTGAAGAAGTGTGTTTTGTACACAAATGTTTACACTTTGAATAAAACTTTGTTGGTTTCAAAGGTGCCACTTGACTCAAACTCTATAGAGAGTAACAGTGTGTGCCCATGCCCACAACCTCCCAGGCTGCTTCCTGTCCAGAGAAGCTCATAGCTGTCTCTGCCCATTTATCTCAAAATTCAAAAACTGCCACCAGCCATGTTCTCTCTCTCTCTCTCTCTCTCTCTCTCTCTCTCTCTCTCTCTCTCTCTCTCTCACACACACACACACACACCATCCCTGCAAAGCACTATTCTCAGACTCCACAATTTATCTGCAAGGCCATTACCCATTCAGGAGAGTATCTCCAGTCAGTAGCTTCTATTGAGGAAACATCAGGTGATCATCTGTGAAAATTAACAGGCAACCAGCTTCTTTAAAAATGATGATCACACAGCAGCCTTAGCATTGGGAACATTTCCTCATAAAAGCCTGCTTTTTCAAACGTATGGCAATGAATGGCTTGGACAGCACAGAGAATTAACACAATGTATTCATTTATTAAGATGTTTGCTGTCACCAGCCAAAGGATCAAGGGGCGGGGGGCAGGAGAATCAGAAAGTGAAGACCAGCCTGCCCCCCACAAGATATCTGGGCCTTGAAACAACTCCTAAATCTTATCTCCCCTCTTAATCTTTCTCCTCAGCTTCATACCCGCCACCCATTCACCTGTGCACCCTGCCTTGCATTGTCAGCCTGAGAGCACAGCTGTTGTTTTATTTTCATTTAGAGACAGCATGTGCCACTAGAAATGTTTTGGATTTTAATTGCAGTGAACAAGTGCTTGACAGAAAAGTGGGCTACAGATGTAAAACTGCTCACGGACAGCAGTTTTCACTGGGCACTGAACCAAATATTGCTGCAAGTCATCAGCCTCAAACCAGTCTCACTAAGACAACACTATATTCAGTTGTCAGAGAGAAACATTCAGTTTTCCCAGTCTCTAAAGACTGCTCCACGCTGTAAGGCACGCTATATGTACAGGTTTCTCTTACTGCTTAAATAACAGTACTGCTTAAATAACAGTACACACTTAGATTTACACAGCAATTTCAGTGCTCAAAGCACACTACACATATTCTTTCATTTATTCCTCTCCTGCTGGCAAGCATGGCCTCATCTGCTGAGGGAAGCTACAGAACAAGAAGGCCTTTCCTGCTGTGCTGTCTCAACAGTGGAACTCCCTTCCCACAATCAACTGCCTGGCACTATGCTTACAAAGTTTCTGATCTGGGTTAAGATATTTCTTTCCTCCCCACAATGCCTTTCATTGACTCCTCCTCTCCTCCTTTTTTAAAAACATACATTTTATTGATATTTTTATAATAAACATCAACACTCCTCTCCTCCTGATTGTTTAACGTGCCTCTTGCATTGGCATCAATAATATAACGATGCAGAATTTAATTTCTGCTGCTACAGATCCTTTTAATAGTTGGTCTTCTTAGAAATTTCAATGCAGCTGTTTATCTATTATTGTATTACAGTTGCTGCTGGTCTATTTAATTGTCATTGAATATCAATATGTTTTATTGCTTTAATTATACTGAAAGCTGCCTTGGTAGTTAGTCCAGCTGAGAGTGTGGGATATAAATATCAGACATAAATAAATATTGTCACCACTGTACTGCAGTTGCCAAGATCATGTAGCTAGTTTGCAAGAGGGGTGAGATTCTGAGGTCTTCCTTGCGCGAAACTCACATGCCAAACCATCATGCCACACAACATTTTTTTTCTAATAACCAGTGTTTCCATGGGACTTACATGAACAGATTCTCCAAGTTCCCACTTTAACCATCCTAACACATCCTCACTCATCCACCCTTTCCTTCAACAGATGCTGTACACATACACCCAATCTGTATTGCCAGCATTCTATTCCAAAGTACTCTCAATATTATCTTACTGAAAAAAACAGTGGAAGAGAACATACTTAAAGCTGTACGGAAAACACAAGCATCTAAGGATTATACTGAACACAAGTCAATCTCATGCCTCACTGATTTCTGTACTAATTTGTAATTAAAATTCTTCTCAGATCGACTTGCCTCTTGTGCTCCGTATCTCCAGTATCCCACTTGGGTATAAAGGATTAAGAATCCAGAATAAAATCTGACAACTTTATGTAAAACTTCTAAAAAATACATAAAACCAAATAAATAATTTTCATCATGTATAATCACAAATAACAATGCCACCTCAGTCACTCAGTACTTCACTTACCGATAGCTTTGATTGATTCTCCAGGAAAAAGTGGAGCCTCTTCCATCTGGGCGAGTTTGTTTCCATCCCTCAGTGCCTGGCAGGAAGCCAAAGCGAGAAGTAAATCTCACATTCCATCTGTACAGCTTCAGTACACAATTACGAGAAGGTGCTCTGGCTAGGAAGTTACTGGAGGCAAACAAATCATACCCTTTCCACTCTCTTCAAAGTAAGATGTTTTAACACCATGGGTCAGTGCAGACCTAATCATAGTTAAGACATCAGGAACAAGCCATGCAATTGCGCACTCCTGCCACCTGGAAAAAATTTCTCCTTCCTGCTTTAACTGAACTTAAGGTGCTTCATCAGGCCATAACAGTTAAGGCAAACTGGGGTTTGAAAGCAGTTTGGAACCCTGGTTAAGCATGAATCGTGGTCAGCTTTTCCATTAACACTGATGTCAACAAAACCACAGTTAAAGTGCAAGGGAGACGCAAGGAATGTGCAGTCCTGCAGCCTGTCCTGACCTCTTCACTGTGGTTAAGCATACATTTGCAAAGACTCTATGAAGCATCAAAGGCTACAGAACCCAGATTTGAAGCTAATTATGTATTTACTGTATAACCACACACACACAAAACAGGTATTAGTAGCAAAGCATTTACATGAAGATATCATAAATATTCCAGTTTTATATAGCACATACAAAGAGCAAGCAAATATTCTGCAAATATTCTGAACAGCAGGGACCTTTCACATGCACTCCCCAGAGTGTGTTATAGTGTTGCATTTTACAAGAATGGCTGATCAGGAAGAAAGTTTTTTTTTTTTTTTTTAGCCACTCACTGATGTTTTTGTTTCAAAGATTTAGGACTAGTTTTAAATCAAGTTTTCAAGAAGGTTCTTAAAAGACACCGTTAAATTATTCGGAAAAGAATGCAATTTTTTCACTTAGAACACAAGTTCAGAAAAAACAATAACTGAGCACATTCAGAGATTATTAAATTGTTAATTTGTTCTGGTGATACCAGATGAAAAATCAGTAGAAAAGGGGAGAAGGGAATTTCCCCCCACACAGCTTGTCATCCACTTCTGTTTTTGATGTTTCAGTGGAACTGCGGGGTCTCTGAACTAACTCTAGGTTCAGTCTTTTAGTAATTAGCCACAACCTGAATTTACTTTAAAAATTTGGAAGGACTGGTCACATTTTTAGGGAATTAAGGCCTAAGGTATTTGTTTATTTTGTTTTAGAGAAAAAGAGAGAATGCACAATAATTCATTGTAGCATTTCAGAGTAAAACCTGCAACATCATATTCTGGTACAACTAAAAATCCAGTTAATTTTATAAGAAACACTAACAGATGCTCTCCACAATTTGTGGCACAATTCCAATTTAAAGCAAGGATTAATATTGCACTTTTTTGTAGTTACCTTCCTGTATATCCAGTTAATTTTGATGGGGTATATAAGGAGGCCTTCCTGAATGAACAGTGCAAAGTAATAGAAGAAAACAATAGAATGGGAAGGACTAGAGATCTCTTCAAGAAAGTTGGAGAAATCAAGGGAGCGTTCCATGCAAAGCTGGCCATGATAAAGGACAAAAACGGTAGGGACCTAACAGAAGCAGAAGAGATTAGGAAAAGATGGCAAGAATACACAGAAGAACTATACAAGAAAGACCTCGATGTCCTTGACAACCACGACGGTATAATCACTGACCTCGAGCCAGACATCCTGGAATGTGAAGTTAAATGGGCCTTAGAAAGCATTGCTAACAACAAAGCTAGTGGAGGTGATGGTATTCCAGCTGAGCTATTCAAAGTCTTAGAAGATGATGCTGTTAAAGTGCTGCACTCCATTTGCCAGCAAATTTGGAAAACGCAACAGTGGCCACAGGATTGGAAAAGATCAGTATACATTCCAATCCCAAAGAAGGGCAACGCCAAGGAATGTTCAAACTATCGCACAATTGCACTCATATCACACGCTAGCAAGGTCATGCTCAAGATCCTACAAGCTAGGCTTCAACAGTACGTGGATAGAGAACTACCAGAAGTACAAGCGGGGTTTCGAAGAGGTAGAGGAACTAGAGATCAAATTGCCAACATTCGCTGGATTATGGAGAAAGCAAGAGAGTACCAGAAAAATATCTACTTCTGCTTCATTGACTATGCTAAAGCTTTTGACTGTGTGGATCACAACAAACTATGGCAGGTCCTTAAAGAGATGGGAGTACCAGACCACCTCACATGTCTCTTGAGAAACCTGTATAAGGGCCAAGAAGCGACAGTTAGAACCGGATACGGAACAACTGATTGGTTCAGCATAGGAAAAGGAGTACGACAAGGATGTATACTGTCACCTTGCTTATTTAATATATATGCAGAGTACATCATGCGAAATGCTGGCCTGGATGAATCACAAGCGGGAATTAAGATTGCTGGGGAAAAGATCAACAACCTCAGATATGCAGATGATACCACTCTAATGGCTGAAAGTGAAAAGGATCTAAAGAGCCTCTTGCTCAGAGTAAAAGAGGAGAGCGCAAAAGTGGGCTTGAAGCTCAACATCAAAAAAACTAAGATCATGGCATCCGGCCCCATCACTCCTTGGCAAATAGAAGGGGAAGTCGTGGAAGTAGTGACAGACTTCACGTTCCTGGGATCCCAGATCACCGCAGACTGTGACTGCAGCCATGAAATTAAAAGACGCCTGCTCCTTGGGAGGAAAGCGATGGCGAACCTAAACAGCATGATAAAAAGTAGAGACATCACCCTGCCAACAAAAGTCCGCATGGTCAAAGCAATGGTATTCCCAGTAGTCATGTATGGCTGCGAGAGCTGGACTATAAGGAAGGCCGAGCGCCGAAGAATAGATTCTTTTGAACTATGGTGCTGGAGAAGACTCTTGAGAGTCCCTTGGACTGCAAGAAGAACAAATCAGTCAATCCTCAAAGAAATCAACCCTGACTGTTCCCTGGAAGGCCAGATAATGAAACTGAAGCTCAAATACTTTGGCCACCAAATGAGAAGGGAGCACTCACTGGAAAAGACCCTGATGCTGGGAAAGATTGAAGGTCAAAGAAGACGGGGACGGCAAAGGATGAGATGGTTAGACAGTGTCAGCGATGCAACGAACATGAAATTGAGCCAACTTCGGAGGACGGCGGAAGACAGGAGAGCCTGGCGGGAGATTGTCCATGGGGTCGCGAAGAGTCGGACTCGACTGTGCGACTGAACAACAAAAATATCTATACAATTTTTCTCTTAGTAAGGGTCTGTCCCTTGATTTCCTGAAGAGATCAGCAATTTATCACTTTGATGTCAGACATGAAATTACTAATACTACATCCGACATACTATGATTTATACTACTTATCCTATGTTAAGTGATGCAATTAAATTACCGATTCATTAACTGCATATTTAAAATGAAGACTAATAGGATTTTAATGACATCTCCACCCTGCTAAATAGTATTCAATTTCACAGGCTTTATTGCAAATCTGTGTGCATCATTTGACTCAAATAATTTAACATTATTTTCAAACCTACACACGATTTTTAAAAAATTCAGACAGTGAAGTATCTTCAAATTTCACTGGTATTAGTACTATAAAGTTTTGATTTGTTAACGAGCCCATTAACTGGTTGAAGGGTAGCTAATCAAACTGTTCTTATTCAACATCGGTGATATTTTGCAAACGGAATTCTACAAGCTGTAGTGTATTATATATTTTATATATCATCTTTTCACTATTCAGACTTCAAACCTGTGATCCACATCCTCAAGAGGACTCTGAGGATCTTTTTAAAGTACATATACACCCCTTATTAATCTGAACCCTAAAGAAATCCAGTCTATTTTGAAAAACCCTGAGTTTGGCCTATTAAAGGCTCAGCTATGATGATGTGATGATAAGTGGAACCAGCTTAACTATATGGTCTCAGGAGCTCACATAGGTGAAGATGAAGATTGTAATTCAGCAGAGTGCCTGATCAGAAAACAAACTTTTGTTGCAAAATCGATGACATAATTATAATAAACCTGAATAACAGCAGAACTGACTCTCTGTTGAGCCAAGTAGCCTTGCACACACTTATGCTTGGTGATGAAGAATGCGATGGACAAGTAAAGGACGTTTCTTGGAAGATAATGATCATGTTGATCCACAAAAAAAATTAATAAGTGTTCATAACTAGACAGGCATGAAAAATTTGTTGTCTCTTGCTGAAAATGGAAGGTGTGCCTCTGATAAATGAAAAAGGTACCAAAAGTACAGAGCAAGACACAGCTTTAGGGAGAAGCCTTTTCACTTTCAGCAAAAGTTTTGGTGCCTTGGGTCTTTTCCACACACTCAATATACTCCTGATTTTCTTGGGAGTCAATCCAAAAGCATTGGAATCCATTTGGGCACAATTCTTCTGCACATAAGCCGGCTGCCCTCCCTGTGCATTTTCACAGTTGTGGAGTCAGTTTATTTTCTTTTGCATGCGACTTCAATAATGAGGATTTTCAAGGAATCAGTGGTGTCATCGGTGGCGTCACAGTACACAAATGGCATTCAAATATCGATATACAGCTGGAGTGTTGTAACAGCAGGCTTCGCATGTTCTCTGAATTCACAGGTTTCATACTTAAAAAGGTAAATCTCCAGCCCTTCCCCTAATGGTGATATGCTTTTTCTTTACATCTCTGTGAGGGTAGGAGCTAGAGACTTACCTTTTTTTCTGTAACGAAAGCTGGGAATTCAGAGAACATGCTAAGCCCACTGTTACAATGCTCCAGCAATATATCAATATTTTAGTGCCATAAAGAAAGACAAAGAAATCACTTGTCTTCAGGATGAGAAGGGAGTGTTTTGCCCACAGCAGTCCAGTCATCGAACAGTGGGCTGAAGTTAGGTGGGAGTGGGCAGGGGAAAGAAAACTGACAGAAACATTACCCACAAGGAAAAAGCTGACTCAAAATCAGTTTCCAGAAAAAACATTGGAGTAAAAGTGGTCTCAAAAGAACCCGGGGAAGGGGGGGGGGGACGGGACGGGACAAAAAACCCGAAGTGAAAACTAGTGGCACACAAAAAAAATCAGGGGATAAACCAAAGCAGTATAGCACCAAAACTGATCAAAAAAACCCATGCAGCAAAACCCTCAGTCACAAGAATTCTCCTCTCTCTTCCTCTCTCTGTTATTTATCAGCAGCCTCTTGTGTCTTCTTAGCTGCAGCTCCTCTTTTCAAAAATGGCCCCACTTTAACTGTGCTTTTGTTCCTTTTCCGTGATCTCCCTCTGTCTCCATTTTTTCCAAGGATACTAGACTACTAGCAAAGAATAGTTTGGAACTGAATTAAGAATAATTCAGAGGACACAGCTTAGCTTTTAACTAGATGGGTCAGAGGTGATTAGGCTACGGCATATCAAATAGATATGTAACCATTGCTATCTGCCTTAATGATTCCTTTTCACTGATCATATGTTCTATTTGTCTGTCTTCTTGTACAGTCTGTCTTATGTTTCTTTTGTTCGCTTATGATTTATATTGTGCCTAGTGAACATTTTAATTCATTTTAATCAAATAATTGAATCGGTGTATGTTCCCTTCTGGTCACTATTCAGCTATTGGGAGAAATTATAACCCAGATATTCAGCCCTGCTTGTTTTAACTTGATATTTTAATTCATACACCTAATTATGTTTTTAATCATGTATATTTTCTAAGCTGCCTTGGGCACTGAAACATTTCAAAAGTAGATTGTGAAATGGCAAAAATCCAACTGAACGTGCCAAGGGTAGATCTTTGGATACTGCCTTGTATGTTTGAATCAGTAGTATTTCCTTTAAATGGTTGGACCATACAGTTTGTTTACACAGAAATAGTTGTCACACATGTAGGTTAATACTAAAAGCATTAAAAATTGTGACTGTCCACTATCTTGCCTGTTTGCACAGATGGAAAACAAAGGTGAGAAGTCTACACTACAAAGGTGATCTTGCTGGATTCCATGTAAGGGAGCAGGAAGGAAAAGTAGACTATACTCTGCAATACAGACGAGCTACAGCTGCAGTGGTCAGAATCAGCCAGCTGGCTACTGTTCTGGGAACAAGTGCACTGCTGCATTGTTCACGTCATCCTTCACTTACAGGTTCGGTGACAGCAGTGTGGTCCCACATGAGCCATGAATGCCCAAGGCTCTGTACCAATTCCTGCCAGGCAATGACACAGTCTTTTACTTTGAACTCATGCTCCTGCTACAGGCAGTGTTCCCTCTAGCTGTTAATTCTTGTGAGCAAAAAATTCTACTTGGTGAGCTCCTGGCATTAAAGTTGTGAGCGATTTGGCTACTGCATGAATTTATTTGCTCTGGAGCCCATCCTTCCTGAGCAAAGACGAAAATGTGTGAGCCGGAGGCTAAAAAACTGTACGCTAGCTCACACTAACTGAGCTTAGAAGGAACACTGGCTACGAGTAACCTATATTGGGGAAGGGGTGTGTGTGCTGCCTGGGTCACTCACCAGATCACTGAGATACACTGGAGAAAAAATGCCTTGAGATACACTGGTATCTTTGAACTTGAACTGGTGGTGGAAAGTGCCATTAAGTCATAGCTGACTTATGGCAACTCTGTAGGCTTTTCAAAGCAAGAGACAAACAGAAATGGGTTGCCACTGTTTGCCTCTGAGTAGCAACCCTGAACTTTCTTGGTGGCCTCCCATCCAAGTATTAACCAGGGCTGACCCTGCTTAGCTTCTAAGATCTGATGGTATTGGGCTAGCCTGGGCCACCTAAGTCAGGGAAAGCATGCTACATACAAGGAAAGAATGTTTGCCAGGTTAAGGTAAAACATGTATCCAGCATCTGACATGACTATACACAAATGAGGTTCAGCAAACTGATGGCTGTATACCACTGGAAGGGGCAAGACTAGGGTTAGCACTTTCAGTTCATATTTTCTAAAGAAGGCAACAAAGTACAATTTACCAATGACTGTGATTTCCTCTATGCAAACTGTTTGAAATATGCCTCAGTGCACAACACCAGAAAACACTGCTTTACACTATCCATTGGCTTTGATGGATAATTAGCTGCAATTATGTGTCATAAATCCTGAATCCAAAGAAAAAGAACCCTAGGAAAAAAGTTGTATATTTCTACATGACCTGAAAAACATTTTGAAAATACTTCTGGATCTTTTTAGAACAAAGAGTTTTCACATCTCCACTAACACAGTAATATAGTATTTAGTTATGGAACAAAAGGTAAGTAAAACTTGCCACCTGATCAACTTCTGCGTCAGAAGGATAGCCATTGTGTCCATCCTGAATCTCCTGAATAGCATGATGCAGCAGTGGGCAAGCAGAAGCAACAGGGAAAAAACATGCACATAATAGGTGAAAGGACAGAATTTCTTTTCTTTCTTTTTTTAAGAGACAGTAGATACTTTAACATCAATGTACTTCTTGCATCCTGCATTTATCAAGTACATCAAGCATATATTCTGCACCTGTAAGATCCAGTTTAAAAAAAAAACATATTTGAAACTAACTGGAACACATGCCTCTCAATCCCTTCTACAGTTACGTTCAGATACCAGAGAACATGAAGTATGTACTGTCTTTATGAATCAAGCAATCTTTAAAACAGCAAAGACAAAATGTAGAATATAAAGTAGGCCACATGCTTGAAATGACAGAAGAAACTGATTATAGCATACTGTGGTAGCACAGAAAGAAAGGGAGGGGGAGAGGGAGAGAACGAGAGAAAAGCATGCAATGACTTGCATAAAACAGTTACATAGTTTCCATCCCCAAAGTTTAATTGTCTTATCAGAAGACTTGCCCGTTACACAAAATCACAAATCAGCAAAATACTTCAGGATTAGGTTGTTAACCATTTCTGTTATTATGCTTTGTAAACTTTTGTGGTTTGAAATGTTTTTTCAAAAGTATCAACTGGGTCACAAGAATGCCATTTGCTATAATATTCAACAGTTGATTTCTGTGCACTCATCCAGTTTCCATCTCAATTTATAAAGAACCCCTCTGAAATCTCTGCAACAAAGTGAAAGATCACTGGAACCCGTAAGAGGTTTTTTTCACTACATCTGGCTGGGTGAGGGTCAGCTAGTTAACAGTTTCCATCACAAGGCTGTCTCCATCCCGGGTTAAGTGCCAGATAACAAATGTAAAGGAGGAGAAACTATTAATGGGAAAAGCAATATTGCACATTGCTCAGGCTAAAAAATGAAAGCTGACTGTGTCATAGACACAATTTTCTTTGGACATCCTTTTTCAGATGATATGTGCACACTGAATGCATGGGAGGCAATAGGAGAGAAGAGAGTGAAACTATGGCAGTAGGTCTATAGCGCGGACTGTCAAGAAAGACTCTTTGTATATACAAAGTGCAGGTGTGTAGGCTTCTTCACACAACTGGAGATCCTCCTTTTTGCAGAGCCTACTTGTGTACTTGTATTTTTGTCACAACATTGCTCTCCCCCATCCCAGACAATGTACACACATTGATGGTCTCAAAAGGGCTTAAACAGATCTAGAAAATTTATGTTACATGGATTTTGATCTCAGGATTATCTGAAAAGGCAGTATACTTCCACTGTTCTTGATGAAGGCATATCAAGGCCTGACACTTTGCAAGAAGCTATAATGCACCTCTGAACTGTGGCATTTCTGACTCTAGCTTGCTACCAATGTGCAAGCACAACATAACACACAGCTGGCAAGGTCTTATTGGACCAGCTTGTTGACTGAGACTGTGCAGAGGTTCCATATGGCTTCCCCCCAATAGTTCATGTTACACAACAAAGTAGTATTCAGCTGACCTTAAAAAAGCCAATAGCTAAAATTTCAAATTATAAAAGTTTCGCACATTTTTACTTTAATAAAGTATAGATCTTCAAAACACATCTTCCACATGTCAAGAAGGCAGCTCAAGAGAACAGATGCATTTGCATTGTATTCCCAGATAAGAAAGAAATTCCCAGATGAGAAAGAAAAGGACAGTTTTGAGGAATCAGATACAGAGATGCAGAAGAGAAGGCTGAAGCTGTGCAAACTAAAAGAATTATGTCCTAAAACTTAATAGTAAGAACTTCAAGAAACACATACTGGGCACCTGGTGTCAAGGAAAAGTAGGGAAGATCCATGACCATCAGCAGCTTCTCCTGATGGATCACAGTAGCCTTTCTGTGTACTGGAAAACTTTTTAATCTTGCCCATTTTAAGATCTGTTAATGTATAATGCTTTGTGCATCACCATTATTAAACAGATAGAAGTCCCTTGGTAAAAGAAGGCAAAGTAGGTAACCAGTTCTCAGTTTGTTAGCACTGTACAGTGGCCGGAGGCAAGCTAGTTCGGTATTAGAAGCATTTCTTTACCATGCAGAGTTCCACATACCTTTGGAAGCATAACAACTTGGTGCATCTTTAAAAAAGCATTAAAGGAGACAGAGGCAAGAGGAATAGGCTCACCTTGTGGAACAGACAAAATTATATCAAATAAGAGGACAAACTGTAGCTTCAGTGTGAAAGCAGAGTGACCCAGAGGATGATTTAAGAAAAGTCCTTGGCTTGAATATCACATCTGCCACAAAGTTCTTATGTGGCCTTTGCCACACCTCTTTTAGCCTCAAGACACACACCCCACCTGTAATATGGGGACAATAATGCAGGGTTGTTGTAAAGATTACAACAAGATAAGGTATATGAGCTGCTCTAAATATTTGTAAGTGCTATACAAATGTTCAGTGTCATCTTCATATGCTAGAAACTTATGTTAGCCTTCCAAGGAAATTCTCAGAAGCTACTAACTTACAAGAATTCTTAGCAGACCCTCAATTAGTCATTTGTAATATGCTGATGGCCAGAAAGGGTGGGTGGGGGTCACATCTGCAATCTGCAACACTTTCCCTGCCCAGCTGCTTGGAGATGAACTTCACTTATCACAGGCAACTAGGCTAACAGCCATTTACATTCTTCTTCTAAGCTCAGTCTTCTGGGGAACACTGGGGAAAGGGAGTAAAATTTTGGCATGAAGAAAATATGTTCACACAGTTGTCCTTGGAACCAGTTTTTTGAAGCCATCCATCCTTCCACTGTCTTTGCTGATTTGACACTGACGGCAGCAAATACTGCACACACAGCTTTCATAACCAGAATGAACACTAGAAGACACATTTTAGCAAACCGAGAACAGATATAAAGGTCACTGTAGTGGTGCCTAACTTGGAGCCCAGATTTGAATTTTGCATTAAGCTTCTAAACAATTATGGTGACATGTGCATAAATGAATGCATGAATTGAAATCTTATTTACTTAGGTCAGACTAAGACTTACTGCTTTTTTCTTAGGCTTCTCCTTCTAATATCTTTAGCACATAGAATGCATTAAGGTTGCTAATACAGTACTCTGCAGTCCAAAGCATGTAAGCATCAGCTGAGAGGGCCCATTTTGTCAAAATTAATGTAATAAAACTTAAGTTAGTACCAAGCATTTCTAACATAACTTAAATATACTGCTCTTTCACACACTGGCTTTTATTGCTCATGAAAATGCTGTAATGTACATAAAACATTTCTATGGCAAACAAGCTGCTGTACTGCATAGCAAGATGGCCCAACTCATTTAAAGCAACCATGAAGTAGAAAAGAACACTGAGGCACACTGAGTTCTCAACACAGCACAAAAACACAAACAGGTAAGAGCCTGGTTTGCCAGTAGCCACATTTAGTCTTACCCTTATAGTAGGCCTCCTGTATACCTGTTAGTTAAAATACAGATATTATCCAACAAATCATGTATTCAAATCTGAAATCAGGCAGTACCACCCACTGCCTGGTGCTTTACCACCCCATGTTCTTGAAGAGTTTTAATGAGCATGATACTGTTACATGATCACATTGCCCAAGACTCAAGTGGAGGGAGTCAAGAGCCCCTAAGCTTCTAGGGGCTCTTTCCTACTTTGAACATTCTTCTGCCTCCCTGATTAATTATTGGTGGGCAAAGTCAATCAAATCACTAAAGTGAGGTAAGGATGAATTACTTTGTCAGTGTACAATGTAATTATGATTGTGCTACTATTTATCTGAATTTTTAATAGGAAAAATAGCAGCAGTGAAAACACAGGTTTGGACTACGGCAACAACATGCCACTATTTTCATGGCTTCTGCACAAACTAGTCTGTAACATTCAGATAATTTATAACCTGAGTAAAAAACCCCACCTGATTCAGTATACATAAGGCACTCTGAAATTAAATGCATCAGTTCCACTGAAATAAACAGGGCTTAAATTAGTTCCTCTGATTCTTGATTGTGAGTTAATCTGGTGTGTTTTTTAATCATGATACTTTTCTAATAGTTAACAGGTATGAAACTGCAAGTCATGGCTTCTTCAAAATCAAAAGTATTTTTAAATCAAACAAACAAGTCTCTTGTTCAAGAAACAGCCATTTGAACTTGCAGTCCATATTTTATACCCATACCCAAAAGGTGGGCCTCAATGCCTAAGATAAAATGTTAATGCCCATGATGTAAAGAACCCTAGAAATCAACTACAAACAATACAGTATTCCTACTGGTTTCCAGCCTCATCACCCCCACACCTGAAGGGGCAACATGGTTGTACTAGCAGAGAATCATCTGCTTACTCATCAATAAACTCAAAAAGGCTATGATAGTGAAGAATAGTTTTGTACTTCCTTACATACAACTTTAAACTGGCCTACAGTGCCATGGCTACAAAGAAAGTTGGGATATGAACCTTTATTCTTCATTGCTATCAAACAGGGTAAACCAGAGTTTAAAGCTGTTTACTACACTTTAAAACACAGGTGAGCTACCTACACAACTACACAAAACTACCTACACAGGGTCTTGCTAAATTTTTGGTAGTAATATCTGCCATCAAGTATTCAACCTAACACTGGGAAAGGGAGATGAGGGGCTGCCTGTCAAATGGCTCAGTCAGCTAAAAGTGCCTTCTCTGGCTAAGCAAAGAAATAGCAGATATTAAAGTGAAGCCACTCTGCTCTTGAAAATTGTATCTGAACTCCCAGGTGCATTTAATTCCAAGCTCTAACTTGGATTCTAAAGTTATAGTACAACAAATAGTTGTAATGGCAAATTTACCACAATACTTTATCAAAGACTGCAACCTGATCAACAGGCATTTTGCTGCCATGCATTACAGGAGAGCAGGGTTTTTTTCTGAGCACACTATGTTGACTGTGTCTACATAAAAAGACATACTGTGAGGAGAATGTTTAAAGAAACCATGATCAAACATGCCACCACGGATTCATCTTCAAACACAGGTGGAAAATTACCTACATGCACAAGAGTTTAAAAAGTGTGATAGTTTTAGAAGAGAATCCACCTCTTCTTGAACACCAAGTGCATGGACAAATTAATTTACATGAACAGGTTTTGGGAGTTTTCTGAAACTGCAAAACAGAAGAAAAAGACGAACTCTTTGCTTGCAATCTATCACATTTGAGGACTCAAATTAAACAGGAGTTTTATATGTTGAAGGGCACCCAAAAATCATATACAGTAGATACTGATGTAAGATTTTCAAATATAAAATATTATTCTCTTGACCCTTTTTTCTTTTGTTAACTTGGATTTTTTTATATTGTTTTTTATTATATACAACAACAGGCTGCACCAATGGCATTTTTTGCCAGACAGAACACCAAGAAACTACAGTAATGCTTAGGGGGTTCAGGCACAAACTGTATTACGAACTGAAGTACATCACTAATTTGGGGCGGTTTACGAACCTCAGTTCGTGCCATCCTGCCCTCACAAGCTACAAGAATCTCCCACTAACATTCCAGGTGGGTTCATGTGGTTTGTGTCAGCAGACATGCTGGTGCCAGTGGCGGGGCTTGGAGAAGCCATTTAAAGAGACTGTGGTCTCTTTAAATGCCTTCTCCAAGCTGCGCCGCTTGCAAAAACCATTTCCCTTGGAAGCGAGGGGGGGGCAAAAGGGATAGCTGAAATGGCTTGCAAAAGTCATTTAAAGGGAACATTCCCTTTAAATGGCTTTTGCAAGATCTTTCCCCCTTTCCATTCTGCTGGCCTCAGGGAGCTGCTGCTAGAAGAAAGGAGAGAGGGAAGATCCATGAACCTCACAAACCAAACCAGTTTGCAAACCGGGGGAGGTATGTCTCGGTTTGTGGGACTTCACGAACCACGAACTGGGATGAACCTCCATTTCCCCAGTTTGTGCCCATCCCTAGTAATGCTAGTGATAACTGTTGGTTTTGTAAAAGAATCAGGAGCAAATTTCCTTCATACGTGGTGGCATAGTGACAGGGGAAAAATTTTTTGGAACAGGGTAATTCAATTACTGACAGTGGCTTTTCAGTACAAGTTAACCATTCCATTGAACATATGTTACTGAACGATGTAGCCTCAATCCCTAAACAATACCAGATTATTGTTGGCTGCAAGACTTTTCTTTGCAAAAACATGGAAGTCAAATCATAGACCATTAGTTAGAGACTGGATGATTAAAATGAAAGACTTGTTTAAACTGTTAATTTTATTGCAAAAGCATCAAGATGCTAAAAAATAATTAGATTATGGTACGCTGTAATCTTAAAGACAGAAAAATAGATATAATGAAATTGGAGGATATAATTGGAGGATATAATAATTATAGCTAATTAAATTGTTATAATTGGTTAGTCATCTCTTACTGTACGGTTGCTGAAATAGTTTACATATTTTGCATTATTTTGAAGCAGTATTTTAATTTATGCAGTTTATGTAGTAGTTGTTTATCTTTTCTTTGGCTACATGCCCTATCATCTTTCTTTTATTGTACTTTATTGTCTGACCCTTATTTTAAAAGGCAAAACAATACATTTCTAATTTAATGCCACATTATTATTCTAAAGTTCCTTTTCTATCTTGTTTGTGGTAAAAAGTTGTGTGACCATGAATACCTATATTAAATGAATAAATAATAAGACTTACCCGGTACTCTCTGGATACACTCTCTGCGGGCATAGAACCTGAAATCTGACTAGAAATTGTAGCAGCAATGAGTTGCTTACACCATTCAACATGGGATCCTGTGGGGCTGCAAGAACAAAACATCATATCATATGTAGCTGAAGATTCCCACTCCACAGACATGTTTACGTCCTAATGGCACAACTCAAAGTACTGGCTACCAGAATATTACTTCCCCTCCCGCCCCATTTCATGCACAGATTCCCTCCTACCACAGCATGCCCCAACATCTGAATACTGAAAACAATAGCTTGCAAAACAAATATCAAAATCATATGATTTCAAACACACTTCAAACCATGATTTCAATTAGTGCTAATTAAATTTGCTTGATTCAGACATGGCAAACTACTGTTATTGCAACCCCCCCGAAAATTAATATTGGACTTTGTGCATGGGGGTGGAATGCAAATCTACAACATTATTTTTCACAGTTCAGAAGATCACCTAAATAACTGATAATTCAAAACCCAAATGCTGTTGCAAGATGTTAAAGGAACTAATAATAAATGCAACAGTAATTAGAGAGTGATTAGAAAACAAATGCTGGTTAGCAAGCTTTTACCTGGCCCCAGTAGCCTTACCGTGTATGCAATCTAGAACTCCTGGGAAGAAGAATTGGATAAAAACCAAATAAAAATAAATAAGAGATCAGGACCAAGGAATCATGGCTTGGATAAAAAGTCTTGCTTCTACTTGTACTGTGGAGATGGTCCTCCAGAAAAGCGTGTTTTCCTCAACACTAGGAGCTGCAGCTCATGAAAAGAACCTAGCATATAAGGAAAGCCCTGTGCAGCAGAGGGCCACATCCACAACAGATAAAGATGGGCACAAACAGAAGCAAGGGTTAGGATCCAAGTGCATGTTCCTATTATTTATTAATTTTAATGTATAAAACTTATATCCTGCTTTTCCCAACAGAACTGAGCCCAAGTTTCCCATCAGATTAACCCAGTTGCACTTAAGCACTACTTGGAAATGAGTCCCATTTTCAATTGAAAAGGTCCTTACAATATATATCTTCAAGACTGCACCTTTTATGCATACATACTTGAAAATAAATTCTATTGAAATGAATACTAACTGCTTCAAAGCACGTGTGCTCTGAACTGGGAAGAGGTACCTAACAGGTGAATTCACCTGGTAGAGCCAGATAAGTATTTCACATGGAAGAAAGGTTCAAAGAACACCACAATCTTTAACATTTTAAAAATCATACAAAACAGTTGTTATTTTTTCCACTAAATGGAGAAAAGGGGGAAATAAACATATAAGAAGTCCAGTAATGATAAAATAACAAAATAATGAGTTGGACCCAACCAGCTTTTTCATTCAATCACATCTAACTCTCCTCTTTACTATAACCCCTGCCCCACATGGCTTTTGTTCATGAAGGTCTCATGATTCCCAGCATAGCCTTTTTTGGTGGTCAAATGGAACTGTGCTCCATTTGCTCAATGAAAAGTTAGACAATAAGAGTAGAAGATCTACAGTCTCTTTTTTGTTGAAAATATGCAAGGGGTGGCAGGAAAAACAAATAATAGAAATAGTTTTTAGAACTAGTGAATTCATTAATTTAAACTGGGTGACCTATGGAGCATTCTCCAACCTTAGAGAGGCTCTTTCTTCTGGAATGTCCAAACACTCAGGAAAAACATTAAAGTGTAGCATAGGAAAGATTCACAATCCTTGCACAAGCAAGTCCAGTATTTTGCATTTACATAGTACTTTAGCAACCAAAGAGGGGCTGTGGTGGTTCAAATGGTTATGACGCTGAACTGCAGACCTGAAGATCAGTAGATCGGCAGTTTGAGACCCGAGTGCTGCATGACGGAGTGAGCTCCCGTCTCTGGTCCTAGCTCCTGCCAACCTAGCAGTTCGAAAGTAAGAAATTGCAAGTAGATAAATAGGTACCACTTCGGTGGGAAGGTAACAGCATTCCGTGCGCCTCAGTGTTTAGTCATGCCAGCCACATGACCATGGAAATGTCTTTGGACAGCGCTGGCTCTTCGGCTTGGAAACAGAGACAAGCACCACATCCCTAGAGTCGGATTCGACTGGCTTTCGAGCAAGGGAAAGCTTTACCTTAGCAATCAAAGTGCTTCACACTGACATTTCTGCAGTACTTAACAGCAGCCTTCCAAGGTAGGTCGATGTTATTTTCCCAGAAGTGCTGATCTGGGAGGCTGAGCGTGACTTTCCTAATGCAACCCAGAATGTCCATGGCAGAGACAATATTCACACTGGTGATGCCGAATGGGAGCACGCAGGCACAGATTTGTGCATCACTGGCGACTTTCTTACATGCTGTGTGTTTAAGCTCTTTAAATATGCTCTTAGTATCTTAGTTATCTGCCTGGGTGCTGGTAGGCAAACACTTCCCCCAAGTTAATGTGGCCCTAGGTAGGAAATTAAAAATCGTATGTAAACCGCTCAGAGACCCTTCGGGGTTCGAGCAGTATATAAACTGAAAGTTAAATAAAATAAATAAAATAAAGTCATGCATAACAGCACTGTACAACTGGACTAAGGGCAATAGGTTTATATTATATTCCTAAATGTTGTATATAATCATGCTAGACATGACCTCGCTTAGATGTTCTCTTGTACAAATCAATGGCAAAAGCGCAGGAAAACGGTATTATTATTAATCCATTTAGAATTTTATTTATAATCATAGCAGGGAACAATCCCAACCAGAAGTTCTCCAGTACTATCCCACTGAAATGAACGGGAGCTTCGACTCATGAAAGTTTATATCAAAATAAACTTATTAGCCTTTAAAGTACCACAAACTGTTATTTTTTGTTGTTTTGTTATAATGCTGTGTAACATTTTATTTATTTCATTCGATTACACATTACACTTAATATCAATTCACAAATCTAAATACATATTATGCTTATTTCATACAGCTCCACCTGGAAATTCTCCTGTGCAAGCACCCTAAGAAGTAAGCCACACTTGCACAGAAGCTATTTAGCACATTTTTATTCCACATTTTCATAAAGAATACACGGTTCCTCCTCCAGTTGATCCTCATAGCAAGTTATGCTGACAGAGGTCACCCAACAAGTTTCATGTCAAGTGGCATTTTTTTATTTGTGCGTACGTGCACGCACAAAACCTGCATGCATATATAACTTGGTGTGTGTGTAAATCAATGTGTGTATTATCATCTCTCTCTATATATAAATACATATATCTCTGTGTTGCAGAGGGAGGGATAGCCATGTTGGTGTGCTGAAACCAAAACAAGAGAGCCATGACACCTTGAAGAATAAACTTATTATGGCAGAAATTTTGTGCATATGTGTGTGTGTATATTCCTATAGTCAGTACATGTGTCTGTGTGGGAGCATGTAGTCTCTGTGTAGTTTGTATACAAAAGTTAATTTCCCTGTGTGTCTCTTTCTCGCTCCTGGAAGCCAAAGCAGGGAACCTGGGGGGAAAGGGTCCACTCAGGGGCTCTTAGACCCAGTTCAGCTCAGCCCCCCTTTCCGCACGGCGGCTGCAGCATTTGCCCTCCAACCCAGCCAGCAGCCCTCTCCGCCTCCTAACAGATGCATTCATTCCTCCGCCGGCTGGTCACACTGCGAGGGCTTTAAAGGCGGGGGGGGG